TATTGTCAGGTTTAGTATAGTGAAAAGGTATCTCAGAAACACTCTTCTCTCCTAAGCCTTGTTTCCTGAATAACAAATCCCCTTGTAGTGGTGGATTTAGGGGAGGGCTGCACACCTCCTGGCCCCTCACATAGCCACATAATAGATGGATCAAGTGGGAAGGGGCTTGGCCACGTTATTTCGCACTCAAAGGATCCCTGGACAATGCAATACCTCCAGCTGGTAACTACTACTAGCAACCCTATGGGCCAAATAGTCTGTGCCTGACCTTGCAATTGATAAAATAGAAAAAATCTGATTGAAATCACCCTTTGTCCACAACATCTTGAGTCTTCCACTGACTGCATCTCAGTGGGTGCATTTACACATGCACATTTAACATTAGTTAAATGTGCATTAAATCGAGTACCTCTGGGCACTTTTACACATGTTCTGGGGTTGGGGAAGTGCTTTCATTGGAGCACCTCCAACAGCCTCTTTAATTAAAGCACTGCAGTATCTCATGTATCATAGTCCCCATGCTTCAAAATGGTGGAAGGGACACTTGAATTAAAGCTCATTCGACAAGCTTTAGTTAAAGCACCCCCACCACCACTTTGAAGCACAGGGATACTGATACAAAAGATGCAGGAGGCTGCTGGAGCACAGTAATAACCATGCTCCAGCAGATTCAATCGAGTCTGCTCCAACATGATGTAATTACAGCATGCCAGAGCAACCTCCCAGCACGTCTGCAGGCATCCTCCATTTTGAGGTACTAGGAAAATGCACATTAGCCCAGCTTAATGTGCATTAACTAAAGAGCATGGTTTTAGTGACGCTTTAATGTGCATTACCCAATTAAATGTGCATTAGCAAAAGCTCACAGTTTTTTAGTCACACCTAGTGATCTAGCCCACAGTGTCAGATCATGGACCTTTGATTTAAACAAATAGTTCTTATGCAAATAGTCCAATAAAATTCCATTTAATTAAATGTCTTATGGTGCAGTACATTTTAACTATTCCGAGAAAATCTAGTAATCCAAGTTCTGACTGATTTGTATTTTCTGAATTAAAATGTATGACAGCTAGTGAGAGCTGGCAAGGCTCACCATCTCTCAGAATAAACCCATTTAAGAATGTCAAGGGAAAATACAGAACAGTTTAAAGACTCTTATAGGAATGACTGTACCTCATGGAAAAGGCAGCCTGTGATCTCACTGAGCTGAAATGTCTGCTTCCTTCAGGGCTTAATCTTGTTGTCATTGTTGTTCTTGTTGGTTTACAACTACAGTCTTGGAAATCTGTGCTGTACTTTCTTTCGCATGAGTAAATTCCAAAACCATGTAATGTTCTAATAACACTTTGGTCAGTACCAGAAATGGATCCAGGATTTTAAAAGTGGGGGGGGGGGGCTGGAACAGTGACTGGTACTTCAGGGGGGCTGCATCCCTACTCCTAGCCTCCTTCCCCCACACTGAGGCATGCAGACCATGACATGGGAGCAGCAGTTGGGGACTTTTTTGAAATCCCCAAAGCAGGTAAGAATTCTACACCTTTCCTTCCTCTCTCATCCACATCTCCTCCCTTCTATATCCCCTTCCCCTGCCTGTCACCACTGTCCCTGTTGTCCCAGGGGTGAGGGGAGCTCCAGAGCCACTCCAGCCAGGCTATACAGTGGCTGGGCTCAACGTTGAACAATGGCAGTGGTGGCACAAGGTAGGTTCCCCCTCCCTGCATTTGCTCCCAGACTGGTGGGGAACACCTGAAGGAACAGGTAAGGAAAGGGAACCCCCTAGCCCACTGCCACTGGCGTTATCCCAGGCTGAGCCCAGCCCCTGCACACCTAGGTTGGAGTGGCTCTGGAGCTCCCCTCATCCCCAGGGCAGCAGTGACAACAGCAACAGCAGGAGGGGGACAGGGGATTCAGAGGGAAAGGGACCAAGAAAGGAAGGGAGGAGATGTGCCTCTGAGCATAGAGGGGAAGGGGGGAGTGGAAAATTCTTACCTTCTTTGGGCACTTAAAGTCCCTGGCTGCTGTTCCTGCCGCCTGGTCAGAAAGGGAGTTGCAGCCTCACCACTGCACCCTCTCTGGATCTGCTCCTGGCCAGTACTCAGATCAAGAAAACAGAAGTCCAAATACTGTCTAGCATCATTACACATTGAATGAATCAAACCTTATTATTCCCCCTTAAATAAAAACCTTCCCATTCTTGTTCCCCATCTCTAATATTAATGAAATGTTTAAATATGTTTAGCATGGTATATACTGAACAGTTCAAAAGTGAGGCTTGGGTAGATAGAATACTTGTCACAACATAAAATAAATGATCCATGACACAATCCATGCTGTAAAAGTGTGGAGTGATTCATCATATATCTGTTATATCTACTCACTCTACATTGTATGAAGTATTAGAGCAGATCACCATATCTTCACCAATTATTCATTTTAATGACTATGAAATTGTGGAGCAATTTATCATTGCTCAGTAGAAGTTACTTACTCTAAAAAGCTGGTGATGTAGTCCCGGCTACAGGCTGACCAAGAAAAGGGGTTGGTGTTTGCTGTAATGTGAGCTGCCATAAGCTTTGCTGCTTCGTGACCTTTGGTCCCACAAGAATTTCCAATTCCATCATGGTTCATGCCAAAACTGTCCAAAAGAGGTGGCAAAAAGGCAATCCGTTACTTATCTAAAGCATCAGATAGCTAACATAACTTTAGATGGCTTCCACAAAGATAACAAGTTTTGAACTAGAAGGCCACACTTAGTTGGCCTTCTCTATAGTTTAGTCATAACTCAAACTACTATACCATTAAATACTTTCTTTCTTCCATACAAAGGTCTTAACCATTTTACTACTTCAAGCAAGTTTTACAACATGCCTGTGAAAAAAACAGAAGGGTCTTCAGCTATAATCCTTATTTGGGGTTTTGCCTAAATGAGGGCTATAGGTGGTTGTCAGCCCCTGTGCTCAGATTAATAAACTCACACAGAAAAAGCTAGGTATTAGTGCCAAGCTCATACTGGGCGTATCACATTCATTAATGCACTTTTGCTCCTGCGCATTAAATTTAGTACCTCTAATGTGAGGTACTAACTAAATGAGCATTAAGCTGCCCTAATGCACAGTAGCAAAAGCACGTGCTTTTTTAGTGATGCTTAATGTATAGTAGTCTAATTTTACTGTGCATTAGTGTATTAGCACAGTTTTTACCAAGACACTCTAATGTGCAGTAAAATAAGCTACTGTACATTAAAACGCACATGTAGACATGCCCACTGTGAGGCGACGATAGTTCAGATAGAAGTTAGGTGCTCTACTCCTAGGATCCTGTTCTACTAGAGAACATATACTCCCTCTATGCTTCCACTTGTGGCAGGCCAGTAGGGGGTGCTCCTGCAATGAGCCATCCTCCCTTACTGTGCCCAACCAAATGCCAAGCTTTGGATGCCTTCCCAAGGACACCAATGTTTGGCCAACCCCCTTCCTGGAGCACACCCACAAGTCTGGGGTAACTGCTACCAGCACCTGAGATCTGGTCTTAGGACTCTGTGCCACCCGGGTACACAGACCCTATGGACCTTGGGGTTGCTTAACCCACCGTAATACTTTGAGGTGCTTCTCTTAACCTGAAGTATTCATAAATAACCTCCCTTAGCCAGCCAAACAAAGGGAGCAAAAAGACTTGTCCAATCCCTCTCAACATGTACAACAAGGCCTGCTATAGCAGATGCCTTTATTAGGTAGACAGGGTAGACATCAGAAAGGGTACAAGTCAGAGTAGTATCAGGACAATAACCCTGAGCAAACAGAAGTGGCATGGTAGCCTTTTAATACATTTGTAGAATACACTGTTACTGGCTAAATTTCAGGTAAGTTACTCACATGTTTATCTGGAGTCTAAAAGAACTCCAGACGCCGTTTGCTTGTTGCCTTATCATCTTCCTGCAGGGCTTTAATCAGGTCCTGTTTCTTTTGCCTCTTTTTCCTTTGGAGGCCTCTTTCTTTCATTTCCTTCACCAGGCCCTCTGTAGTCAGGTGGTCATGCTTGTCAGCCATCCTAGCTAGCTACCCTGTCCAGTTGACCCAATGCCAAATTAAAGACTCGTTTGCTCAAGGGTTTTCAGTGACTCTACTTCCTTCCCTGAAATAAAGCCTTCCAGACAACAGGCTGTGGGATCCCACCCCTGTCACCATGTGTGGTGGGCCAGTAGGGGGCAATCCTGCACTGAGAAACCCGCCTTACTGTGCCCAACCAAATGACAAGCTTCGGATGCCTCCCCAGGTGCACCAACTTCTGGCCAACCCCCTTCCTGGAGTATACCCACAAGCCTGGGGTAACTGTTGCCACCACCCAGGATCTGGTCTTAGTTAGGGGTCTGTGCCACCCAGGTACACAGACCCTATGGACCTTGAGGCTGCTTAGCCCACCATGGTACTTTGGGGTGCTTCTCTTAACCTGAAGTATTCACAAATAGCCTCCCTTAGCCAGCTGAACAAAGGGAGCAAAATGGCCTGCCCAATCCCTCTCAAACATGTACAGCAAGGCTTGCTATAATGGATAGCTTTATTGGGTAGAGAGGTTAGGCATGGGGAGGGGTACAAGTCAGAGTAATATCAAGACAATAACCCTGAGCAAACAGAAGCGGCTTGGTAGCCTTTTGATACGCTTCTAGAATACTGTTACTGGCTAAACTGGGAGAGGGCAGCTGTGTCCTGGATCCCATGGCTACTATATGCTGGCTTGGGACTGCAGGTTGCCCTGGACCCCATCCCAATGCTCAGCTGAGCATTAAGATAGGGCATGGGGCAGCTCTGGTTCTTGGTTCACCAGAATTGCACCGTAAAAGTAACATCTGCCAGGACCCTATAACATTCCTTTCCTAATGTAAATCAAAGATTACACAGTTGTGAAAAAGGGGTGAGGTAAGAGCATCCTTATACCTCACAGATGCAAGACTGCTGGAACTATTCCTTAGGGCTAAAGATAGATATATAATGTGGAAAAGAATCATCACCAGACTAAAACTAAAAGCAAAATTCCTGAGAATGGACTATAACAGACTACTTAAGAAGTACTGCTCAATTGTATGCATAACATTAAAGATGAAATAATTATTGATTTTATACATAATCAGTTAACAAAATATTCAAATTGATAATGCTCTGATTGACATGACATAAACTAGTCATTTTAAAGGACATGAAGAAAAGTAATCTATCATAAAAATGTATCTTCTCTTTGCGTTTTATAAAAAGATTAAGTCTGTTTCAGTATAGCATATTTTTCTTAGTGGTCAAGTCATTTTGTAGCTGTGGAGGTCCTGAAAATACATGAGAAGCAAAGATTTTTGTGGATTAAACCTTTTATTGGACCAACTGCATGGTTAGGATGGACTTAGACACACTTTCATATGAATTCCATTTTTCTTTATATCAAAGAGCGTATTTTCCTTAAATATTCTTCTTTCCTCACACAAGCGCTCAACAATCAAGAAATTGCTGTATTCAAGTCTGGATCACTGACAAATTTAAGGTCTGATACCTCACAAACCAGAAAAGAATGGCAAATTTTCAGGTCATGGGAAGAGATGGAGAAAAAGTAGGGAGGACAAAAGCCGAGAAAGAGAAATACTTTATTTATAACTCTACATAACACTCTCTTCCAAAGCCATACTGCAGGGAAAAATTCAAGCAAAAGTATACATGCTAACTCTAATATGTGGTGCATTAATTCCAGTTTAATTCTTAATGGTATCACTTTTTAAATGTTAAGACAAAAAGAAAATTCTGATCCTTACATGACAGAAAGAAGAAAATGCATTTTTATTCTCACTCTGTTTAGATCTAAAACTAGTCACATCTTTCTGTTCTAGAAATGAGTAATGTGATCCTAAAAAATTGTGAAAATACTGTAACTTAATTCTTCATTACAATGTATATAAAAGGATTTTTATATATTCATTCTACAGATTTTTTGTAATAAAGTATAACTGAAGGTTTCCCAGCTCTGAACTGGAGCTCTTTGAGATGTACTTTGTATATTCACATTCTTAGCATATACTAAGTGTGCAGTTCTGATGGCAAAACCTTTTGATAGCAGTGCCCATTGGAAGGCCATATGACCCATTCCCCTTTCTTCCTTTCACTATTCCTAGATATGCTCAAGGAAAGACTTAAAAGCAGTGTAGACCTCTAGTCACCTCAATGACACCTACTTCTTGCAAGTGCAAGATACTTATCAAGACCCCGATAAAAAACCAGGGGAGAGTGGGCCTGGAGTACGACTGTAATGAGTGCATGTTGCAGAACTGCAGTTACAGATGAGTTCCTTTGATTTTTTCTTTGAGTATCCTCTTCATAGTCCCACATAGTGGGTAGTTGGACTGATAGTATTCCTTGGAGGAAGATGGTATATGGAGACTTAATTAAAGAGGGATTGAAATATTACTGCTTGGCCAAACTAAACATCCAATTCGGATCATCAGTCCAAAGAATAGTGTGCTGTAAATGTAGCTTCAAATTGCAGTTCTGAAGATTTCTGTATGTGGAATATGCCTAAATTATGACACTGAATTTGCCTTGGCCTTAGCAGCATGGGACCCGGTCATCTAGTGATGCCAACAGATAGACTTTCTGTATCATAGTCTAACCCCTTCTGATAATGCTTGACTCTTTTTAATAAGCATAAGAAATTAACAAATTCAGAGACCTCCTCAATTATTTCATCAGTTAATATATTAAACTCCTCTTAGCATCTAATGTACATAGTCAGTTTATGCCTGTATTTGCATGAGGTCTTGGAAAAAGCACTAGAGGTTAGTTAACTCACTCTTTTCGCTAAAGTTATAGCTATAGTGAAAGCTATTGTAATTCAAGAATGAACATTCTATTAGCTAAGAATATGTTAAGTTCCCACATTAGTAGAGGATCTCTAGATGGCACACAGATATTAATTCACCCTTTCATAAATATTTTAATTCTTGTATGTTACCAAGCATTTCTTTTTTATAAGAGAGTGATATTCTGGTACTACTGCTAAATGAACCTTAACTAACTATAGAGAAGGACCTGAAAGTTTCAGTTGCAGCAAGCACTCCTGCACCTTGCTCAAATTGCAATAAATATTATTATTTGCTGGGAGAAGCACACTTCATTAGAAGCTGTGACATCTGTGACTTGATTCTTTTCTAGGCTTACTTTAAAATCTGTTGTACCTCTAGTGAACATGTTTGTTCTAACCATGATAGAACTGTATAGCACAAGCTATTAAGTATATTAAATAAGGGTCAGAGTGAGCCTTCTTATTCTGCGGAATCAACAGATCTGAAATAAGAGGAAGAGATTGCAAAATCTTTTTTGGATACTTAAAGAGATCTATAAACCACAGTTGTTTCAGCCATGCCAAAACAGCTAGGATTCTTTTGCTTCTGGTCTGTTGTTTCATTTTTACCCTCGGAGTAAGCAAGAAGAGAAAATGGAGAGAAGGTGCATAGAAGACCTTTTTCTCAGTTTATCACAAATGTGCCTGAGATGGGTGATTACTATACCCTACTCTTGAGCAAAACTGAGACATTTCACATTTCACTTTGATGCAACGGGTGTGTCTAAACATGCGTTTATACTGGCTTAAATTTACTGTGCAGTA